TTATTAATTGATTGATTTTTGTTATGCTGGAGATTGATTCCAGGGCCTCGTGTAAGTTAGGCAAGCACTCTACTACTGAGCAACACCCCCAGTTCCTGGTTTTATTTTTTAATTCTGGTAAATAAATTATCCCACAGGGAGCCATTGGCTTCTATGCTAGGTAGATCTTGATATCTTAAACTGTCTTTCAATCTTCCTTCTGTTTCCCCCAGCAGCAGCAAAGAATAGATGACAGGCACAGGATAGAGGACATGGAGACATTATAGGTTATTGGTAGTTGAAGTCAGTGCTTATTACAATTGTAAATGTAAGCCCAAAGTTTTTACAAGGTTGACCCATTTTCAGTATTTTATTTGCTTATTAGACAGTACCGCATTATCTTTTGATAAAATGGCAAAGTGACAACTCTCAAAAATATTTAAATTAAAATGTACCAATTTTGTCACATATATATGCAGTGTGATAAAAATATGGTTAATGTTTAAATCAATTATAGTAAAAGGTATTATCATTAATCCCACTCAAAATACTTTCTCTTGGCTTTGAACGCACTTATCACATGGTTCTTGCCACTTTGAAGCAATTCTGAAAGTTCTCCTTTGTATCTTTAGTTGTGCTATTAATAGTTGCCTCAATGTCCTGAATTGATTGAAAACATGTACCTTTCATGATAATTTTGACTTTGAGGAAGAGCCAGAAGTTTCACAGTGCCAGATCTGGTGAGTAAGATGGATGAGGGCACACCATAAGATTTTTCCAAGCCTGTCTTTCCATTAGATGGTACAAAACAACAGCATTCACCGTATTTTTTTAAATTCTTTTATTGGTACATTTCAGGTATATAATACATTTACATTTACATTGGGTTCTTGTACCTGTACATGATGAATCTTGGCTCTTATTTTTTCCCCATTCCCTGTGCTCCCTTCACCCCCTCCACACCCTCCACCCCTCCCTATTTACATAGATTTCGTTTCCATTTTTTTTCTTTTCTCATAATTTTTCCTTTCCCTTCTTTCCTGTCCCCTTCCCCTCCCACCACCCCTACAAATTTGGACCTTTTAATATTTCAAATTATCGATTATTCATTTTTATAAAATGAAGTACTATTCAGCCATAAAGAACGAGAAACTAGAGTCATTTGTAGCTAAATGGATGCATATTGAGGACATACTCGTAAGTGAAATAAATAGGACACACATGTGTAAATACCAAATAGTTTCTCTAGTGTGAGACACCATATATTTTTTTTTATCATACCTCTTAAAGATGCTTAACAAAACAGGCCAGGGATTTAGCTCAGTGGTTCCGCCACGTGCCTCACAAGCTCAGGGTCCCAAGTTCAATCCCAGTACCCCCCCCCCAAAAAAGCGGCAAGACACTAATGAAACAGGACTTCTAGAACTGCTTCCAAAGGTAGCAAGAATGATGGAATAAATATATTCAAGGGGGGGGGCTGGACACACTGAGAGGTATTAATGGCAATGTTTCTTTTGCTATTATAATTTTTAATATTTAAACATTGACTATATATTTAGAGCATCCTTTCTATATAGTATCTCATCTCAAAATGGCAAAAGGACATCAAAATTCATTATATAATAGAATCTTTCATTAAATTTTGTGATACCCAGAAAAAAATTAATTTTAAAAATTATACATGGTTTAAGAACAAATAATTGAGAATATCATAGAAGCATTTAAAATATTAAGACCTGCTCTTTGTATTTTCCCAAAGATATGAAAGTAATACCACTTAATAGGTTAGTTGCTACTCTGCACTTTCAAAGCACTTTAGAGTCATTCATCTGTCTGAGGTAGGACAGTATTAACATTATTGGTTAATAGATGAGAATCCTTTCCCCATTTTACTATATTTGAAGTGCAGAGCTCTGCAAACAGTGCCTGTAGTCTTCTGGTGACCTAATAGATTCCTTTTACTAATACCTCCCTCATCTCCTAAATACGTCTGGGATATTTTTCCAAAAGGATTTTAAAAACTAAAAACAAAGAGAGAATTGTTATGTGGTTTTGGTTGCAGTAAAATATATATTTAACCTGAAAATGTATAAGAGATTATAATACAAAAAAGAAAACAATACGTATAGAACTACGTAAACAATTTTTAAGTTTGGGTCAAGTATTGAAGCAGAGGGCTGGGGATTTAGCTCAGTGGTTTCGCTGCCTGCTTTGCAAGCGCAAAGACCCGAGTTCAATCCCCAGTACCAAAAAAAAAAAAGTATTGAAGCAGATATAGCTTTAAGGTATATCAAATTCAGTTTACCTTCTGGAGGAGAGTTTATGGACCCTTACACCTAAAATAATTTAATAATTGCATTGTATTGGTCTCAGTATGTTTTAGTAAACAGAGAGAGAAACCATGGATGTTTATTACCTGATTTTTGTAATAATTAGTTGTGGAGGTAGCATCTCTGTGAAATACTGGTAATATCACTTGAATAATAATCTTAAAAGCATGTTTTCAGGAACTTTATAGTTTGAAGGAGTGAAAGGTATAGACACTGTTGTGCTGGTCTTTGTTAATTCAAATATAGAGTATCATGTAGGTAAAACTTCTGAGGCCTGATCTGTTTTATCCCTTTTTTTTGGTGTCAGGGATCAAACTCGGGACCTTGCACTTGAGAGGCAGGCAGCGGAACCACTGAGCTAAATCCCTAGCCCTGTCTATGTTTATTTACAAGTATATTCAATCCTACTCTTGCTTTTGAACTTTTTAATGCTGTATAAGATATTAATCATTAGGTAGTCTTAATGTAGACATCTTTAGCACTTCTACAGAAAGTCATTGTCAGAGAATTTATTCTAATTCAAGGTTAATTAGTGTACCATTAAAATAATATGTTACAAAAATTAATTACATCACAGGTCAAAACACATGTTAAAAAGCTTAGTGTAAATGTCTGAGAGCACATCATCCTTCTTGAAACATTGCTATACGTTTGCCATCCTTCTGGAAAATATATCCAAAGAGAAAATCACTACTGAGGTCCAGTCATAGGTGTTTCCCCTAAAGTAAATTTTTGGCACCACATATGGCAAATTTAAAATATAACTCCCATTAACACTAAAATGTGTTGCTTGTCTGCTTTCTCATTGAAACAGTTAAGGATTTATATTTTAGCATTAGTTGACATAACCTCTTTGGGTCAAACCTAAGGAAAAATCAGGAAGCTGGTTGAGAGGTAGAAATTATCTGTACACCTTGTGGTAAAAGTACTAAATACATTAATATTCTGTTTTCCTGTTTAACTATTAGGGATGTGTTGGTATATCACACATATTTTTAACTATGAAGTAATTCTTGTTAATAGTTTAACTTAGTAATCTTAAAATACACACTTAAAATAAGTACTTAAAATGATAGAGACTTTGAATTTTATGTGATTGTTTTAAGGTAACAGCTGTGAAACAGTTATATTGAACTACAGAATATTGTAACATTGTTATTTGTTAAAAGTGTTCCATTAAAGTATCCATCTTTGTGGAAGATTTTTGAATTAGTACCTTAGTAGAAACAGATTAGTACACACTAGAGTTCTAAAACTTTTTAACATTTCAAGTGCTGCTCTAGAGTTCAAAAACATTTTTTTAAACTGGGCCTTTGAAGTGTTTCCTTCAAAAAAAAAAACTTTGAATGGGCTCTGAATACAGAATAATAAAACAATTTTGCTACTACAACAAATGGTGAATGATTTACCTACATTTACAAATTTTTGGATTTTCTCGCTTATGGGACCTGCATAAGCCTATTGGAAAACAGATATTTACAGGTAAATAAAACCAAACCAAGCAAATGAAAGTTTTTAAAAGAGACAATTTGTAAGAAAGTTGTCCTATCCTGTTTTTTGGTTTCAAGAATGGGTTCTGGTTTAATTCATTTGAACTAATAGGTGCATGAAGATAGTCTGAATGATGTAAGAGAATAGGCAACTTTAGAAAAGCTTTCTTAAAAGGTACTATTTACGCTAAAGCCATTCTTGTACTAGTTTATATCTATTTAAATCTTTTCTAAAATGAAATAAAGCAGAGATTTCAATTTGATGTGTAAAAAGCATTCTATTCTTTATAACAATAATATTACTACCCTCAAAAAGCAGTATTAAGCCAGACATTATTTATTCATAAAAGTTCAGACTTTTGGAGGTTGTGTTTATTTGAGAGGGCCAATTAGGCTTCTTTCATTAGGTAGACCAAGATTTTCTAATGGTAAGAAATAGAAATGACACGTTAACCGTAACTATGAGACTTTAGTAGACAGTATAGTAGGCAGTATACTACTATATTTAGATTTTTACTTCCTATCAGTCATCTATTGTTTTATAATTGCCTTTCATAGTCAACTATTTGATGATAAACACTAGTAGATTTTTCAGATATTTCAGAAGGTAAAGTTGTAACATTAAGTAGCGATGGTTAGATAGTTTCATTTTTTAAGGGATAAAGTTAAGGAAATTTAGATATAATTCCTTTAAATTATGATTTCTACCTTAGTTTAAGTATTCTTTTTGTCCATAAGATTTCTTTCACCTGAAGAAATGAACATAATAATTTAAGAAAACTATGTTTATAAATAAATTAAAATTTACAGGGCCAGGGACTTAGCTCAGTGGTTTCGCCGCCTGCTGCACAAGCGCAAGGACCCGAGTTCGATCCCCCGTATCAAAAAAAAAAAAATTTACACAGCGTTTTCTTATAGATCATTCATCCAGCAATTATTATCAATATTGCTCTGGTTAGTACCATTATCTCTATCCCATAGATTGCTTAAAGATACCAGTTTGTAATGAGTCCAGAAGTAGGACTCAGAGCTTCCAGTTGATTGATTGCCAGTTGCTCTTTTTATATTCTTCTTTTTTAAATCAATTGTTCCTAGAATAATGAACCTACAATTTTATTTTTGTCTTTCTTAAAACATTGTATCTTTTATATGGCCCCATAACTGAATTAGCAAATTAACAGAATTTTTTTTCTGTTTTTAGGGCAGAGCTCTACTCCATTGGGCATGTGATCGAGGACATAAGGAACTAGTCACAGTTTTGCTACAATATAAAGCTGATGTTAATTGTCAGGTAAGAGTGATAAAGAGGGAGCTTTTTTTTTCTTTTTTTATTTTTTGGTACCGGGGATCAAACTCAGGTCCTTGCTCTTGCACAACAGGCAGCGGCACCACTGAGCTAAATCCCCGGCCCTAGGGAGCTTTTTAAAAAAAACAAAAAAAAATGAAGTAAAATCCACATAACAAAATTTATGAAAATAACTTTTTTTTTTTTTGGTACCGGGGACTGAACTCAGGTACTTGCGCTTCCAAGGCAGGTGGCAGAACCACTGAGCTAAATCCCTGGCCTGAGAATAACTATTTTAAAGTATATAATTCAGTGGCATTTAGTACATTTCAGTATTATAACATCACTACTATATACATAGTTCCATAACATTGTATCATCCCAAAAGGAAATTCTGTACCTATTAAGTAGACATGTCCTGTTTTCCTAGTCCCAGATTTTGGCAACCACTAATCTGCTTTGCTTTTCTATGGATTCTAGGACTTCTGTGTCTACTCTGGGTATTTCATATAAATGGAATCATGAAAAGTATGGTCTTTCTTGCCTGGCTTCTTTTACTTACAATGTTTTCAAAATGTATCCATGTTGTAGCATGTAACAGTACTTCATTCCTCTTTATGGCTGACTTATATGGATATCCCCCAATTTCTTTGTCATTGACTGATGGACAGTTGTACCACTTCCACCTTTTGGTAGTTGTTACTAATGCTGCTATAAACATTCATGTATTTTGTTCGTTTTAGCATCTGTTTTCAGTATTCTTTATTTGGTTATTTCCCGAAAAGCAGATGCTTACCTTTTGGAAGCCCATTCCAACTGTTTTCTGTATGAGACATGCTACTTTACATTCCTACCAGCAATGAATGATGCTTCTGATTTCACCACATCTTTAACACCATTTGTTAGTTTTCCTTCTCTTTAAAATGGTCATCCTACTGTGTGTGAAGTTGTATAGCTTTGGATAGCCTTTCCCTAAGGACTAATGTTGAGTATTTTTTCATGTAATCTTTGGGCACTTGTATATTTTCTTTGGGTAAATATCCATTCATGTCTTTTGTTCAGTTCTAAAGGATTGTTTTTTCTTTTTGTTGTTGTTTTAAGAGTTCTTGATATTCTAAATACTAGACCCTTATCTAATATATTTTATAAATATTTTCCCCTTTTTGTGAGTCTTCTCTTCACCTTCTTATTATATCCTTTGGTATACAAGTTTTTTATTGTGATGAAATCTAGATTTTTTTTCTTGTGTTTACGGTGTCATATCTAAGAAAGCATTGCCATGTACAAGGCCATTAAGACTTACCCCTGTGTTTTCTTTCCTTTCTATTGTAAGAAAATATGCATAACACAAAATTTACTTTTTGAATCATTGTGGCAGTTCCATGGTATAATGTTTAGCACTCTGGGCTCTAAAATCATTTTGAAGTACACAGTTCTGTGGCATTCACATTTTGTACAACCATCACCATCATCCATCTCCATAATATTTTTGTCTTCCCAAACTGAAACTCTGTACATATTAGCACTAAAACCCCCTTCCCCTTTCCCTCAGCCCCTGGGAACCACCATTCTACTTTGTTTCTCTATGAATTTGACTCGTCTAGGTACCTTGTTTAAGTGAACTTACACAATATTTATCCCTCTTCAACTAGTACAGTTCACTTTAACATTTTGTCTTCAAGGTCCATCCATGTTATAGCATGGGTGAATTTTTTCTTTTATTAAACCTAAATAATATTCTGTTGTATATATTTACTACAATTAGTTTATTCAAATACCCATCAATGGATGCTTGGTTTGCTTTCACTTTTTGGCTGTTGTGAATGAGACCACTATGAACACAGACATATAAATGTATATTCAAGTCCTTGCTTTGACTTCTTTTGATTGTATACATGGAAGTGGAATTGGTAGGTCTTATCTTTAACTTTTTGAGAAACTGTCACGTTGTTACACATAGCTGCTGCACCATTTTACCCCACCAACAATACACAGATGTTCTGTTTTCAGCCATTCAGTGTCTGATTTAGGTGCCTTTTATTTTGCTCTCCTGCCTAATTGCTTTGGGTAGACTTGCCAGTATGCTGATGCATAAAAGTTGGGGGAAGAGGGGATCCTTGCTTATTCTGGAAATTTGCTTTTTAAATTAGTGTGCTAGATATAAAATGCTTTTCCATTCCACTCCAGTCTCCTAGGCCTGTTGGCCTATCTTGGATCTTTGCAAGTCTGAATGAAGTCATTTCTAACTATGCCTCAAATTCAATTCATTCTGTATCTCCTATTTGACCTTGTAGATTTCACTTGTCCCCTTTTTACATTGCTATAATAAAATGTCTCAGGCTGGGTGTCTTATTTCACTCACAGTTTTGGAAGCCGAAAGTCCAAATAGCATGGGCTCAACTCTGTTGAGGGCCCCTGGGCTGCACCATATTATAGTGAATGGCATCACTGCTGGAGTATGTGTGAGAGGAGATATTACATGATGAGATTGGAAGCCAGAGAGTGATTCAGAGGTCAGGATCACTCTTTTATAATAACCCTCTCAAGAGAACTAACCATGGCCCCACAAGAACAACATCAGTTCATTCTAAAGGTGGAACACTCAGTGACCTAGTTCTTCCCACTAGACTTTACCTCTTAAAAGAGTCTGCCATTTCTTAACATTGCCACACTGGGGACCAAGCTTCCAGCACTTGAACCCTTTGGGGATTGGCTACATCTGTGATGGGTAATCTTGATTGTCAATTTGATAGGCTTGAGAGATGCCTAGGAAATTATTAAAACATACTTCTGGGTGTGTTTGGGTGGATCATGGTGGTGTAACATTGACAACTATATCTGGTGCCTGGCCCCTTCCTCCCTGGCCCTTCCCCTGTGCTCTGTTTTCTGGCAATAAGCAGCTTTGATCTTTGCTGTCCTCTTTCTGCCGTGGAACCTCCTGGTCATGGACTGAACCTCTGAAATGGATGCGCCAAAATAAACCTTTTCTCTTTTAAGTTGTGTTATGTCACGTATTTTGGTCACAGTGAGAAAAAGCCGGCCAGTACAACACCCAAACCATAGCATCCACCTTCTCTAATTTCAGTTCAGTTTTATACTCTCTTTTGCTATTATCTTCATTCCCATTTCCTGTATTTCCAGCTGTTATTGTCCTGGCAAAACTCTAATTCTGATTAATCCAATTGCTTGCCTTCTGTACATCTACACCTGGGTTCTGGGCAAAGCTAGAAAAAAAATTCAAATGACTCTGTTACCATAAAGCATGGTATCTCTCATTAAGTCTTCTGGTTCATCTTATTTCCAGAACATCTCCAGTTTCACAGAAAATTAGAAGAAAGCTTAATTACTAACCCAAATCTCAGCCAGTAGTTCCAGCCACATATATTGTCTTCAATTTCCCTCAGACACTTCAAATTCACAGTATCTAACACTAAGCCTACTGTCCTAACAACTGTCCTCCCTTATTCACTATAATTGTCACCATCATCCAAGCAATCACACTTGATCACACTTGATTTTTCTCACTCACTCAGATTCTTTAGGTTCTGCCTCCTAAGTAATCTTATTCACTGAAATCTTCCAACTTCTCTATTCAACACTGACAGTATACTAATTCAAACTTCTTAGACTAGCTGAGCCAGTCCCAGCACCTGGAAGGGAGCTCCCCCACCGCCATCCCAGGCTCCTAGGGCAGAGAAGGTGAGCTGGTCCCAGCACCCGGAAGGAAGCTCCCCACCTCCATCCCAGGCTCCTAGGGCAGAGAAGGTGAGCTGGTCCCAGCACCCAGAAGGAAGCTCCCCACTGCCACCCCAGGCTCCTAGGGCAGAGAAGCTGAGCCAGTCCCAGCACCCAGAAGGGAGCTCCCCCACTGCCATCCCAGGGTCCTAGGGCAGAGAAGGTGAGCTGGTCCCAGCATTTGGAAGGAAGCTCCCTGCTGCCATCCCAGGCTCCTAGGGCAGAGAAGCTGAGCCGGTCCCAGCACCTGGAAGGGATCTCCCCTGCCTCCATCCCAGGCTCCTAGGGCAGAGAAGCTGAGCTGGTCCCAGCACATAGAAGGGACCTCCCCTGCTGCCATCTCAGGCTCCTAGGGCAGAGAAGCTGAGCCAGTCCCAGCACCCGGAAGGGAGCTCCCCTGCAGCCATCCCAAGCTTCTTCCTATATCCTTGACATCCTACAGTATGTTACCCACTTTTCACCTAGAAGGGCTTCCACAAATGCAAATATCTTCTTGTTTACTTTTCTTTTCTAAGAGAAAATCTTATTTGCCCTATAAAGCCCATGATCTGAGCATAGTCTACCTCTTCATTTGTCTCTAAGCACATTCCTACATATGTCCTTTGCCTCATATACTAAGCTCCACTCATTCTTTTTTTTTGGTACGGGGGATCAAACTCAGGTCCTTGCACTTGCACAGCAGGCAACAAAAGCACTGAGCTAAATCCCCAGCCCTAAGCTCCACTCATTCTAAAGAACTTGACATATTATTTACATTTTGTCCTTCATATGGATAATTTTCTCTTGCCTTTGTTCTCCTTCCTAGGCCTGAGTTTATACATAATTTCCTTTAGGAAGTCCTCCTTTAATCAGCTAGACACCTGTAGTGTCTTTGTTTCCCAGCCACCCAGTTTTCTTCTCCACAGGCAGTACCTATTATCAAGTTTTGTGTATCCTGTCAGGATTCATGATATATGGCTTCCTGTTCTTAAGCTCACCGAATAGTTGTGTTTCATCACTTTGTTTTATAATTGACTACTTACAAGTCTGTATCCTCAATACCTCTATGTACAGGTACCAGAGTTTGGTTGTATCACCATTGCTAGCATAACATCTGACCTATAGTAGGTGCTTAGTGACTAAATGTCGAATAAAGTAATATCAGCTAATGAATAAGTTAAACATTAAATGTTAGAAAAATAAAAAATAAGAACCAGAAAGAACCTAACCATCTAACAAAACCTTTGGGAATCCTTTTTGTTTTATTAGAAGAAATACTTCTTTCCCCATTA